GGTTGGACTCAATGCCAGCACGAGTCAGGAGGATAAGGAGCAACCCTGCTGCAAGGCGTTGCTCCAGTGACGACACACACAGATTAATATTCACCGATCCGAACGGGGTTAGATCGCCGAAAKGACAGCCCATGGTCGGATGAAATCCGAGTCAATTCCGGTACGTAGAACCGGCTGTCGTGGGAATTGAAGAATTGAAGCTATTGGGCAACTGTAAACGTCATGAGTTTGCTGATTTTGCCTGCAACAACTTGAAAACGATAACGATTTTTTTTTTAAATAAAATCATCTTCTGTGATGAAGTGCACTCGCATCTGAGTGGTACTGTAAACAAACAAAGCTGTCGATTCTGGTACGAAACTCCACAAATTATTCCTGAACAACCACTACATTCACCTAAATTGATAGTTTGGTATGGTTTTGGGTCTGGTGGTATCATCGTCTCGTACTTCTTTCAAAATGAAGCTGGTGATGCCGTCACTGTCAATGGAGAGCTGTATATATCGATGATATCCAACTTTTTATGGCCCTAATTGGAAAAAGTTTATTTTGCCAACATCTGGTTCCAACAAGATGGGACTAGGTGCCACATAGCGCGTGCAGTAAACCGAATTATAGGGAGATTCGATTATTTCAAGAAATTGTATTGAATGACCTCCATAAAATTGGAGTTTAACACCATTGAGTAACTTGTGGCGTTACTTAAAGTCATTGGTCTTTAGCAATAAACCAGACTCTCTTCAAGCTGTCGAAGTCACTATTGAACATGCTATTCATGACCTTTAGTGGAAAAAATACTCGGAAATTGGGTTCATCGTACTCATTCATGCAAAAAAAAGTAGTGGAGGTTTCGCCATACTCAGTGTTAGCCAAGCAGCGCTTAAACTGATTTCAGCAAATAAGTACAACAACTCCAACTGCAAGACATGCACTCGGCAAAGTTGCTAATGGGTAATTACAACCTCACTAGGGTTTAAAAATGTCATTAACCTCTCGTAAGACAAATTCCGGCTACTTATTTCTACATTCGGTACTACAAGCTCAAGAAGCACCTATTTAATATGGCTCTATGGAAACTCCCAAACAAGGCTCTTGGATCCATATATCCGAATAGGGACCACATATCCTCTATAGCACCCAGAAGTATACTGGAATTCAACACTGAGCTGGATTTATGTGAGCCGTTGTGACAGAGGGGCAATTGTGACCTGCTCAATAATTATCTATCTCTATGCAGTATCTACTACCACACCTAAAAAGTTATTCACTATAAACATACGACTATAGGTATGCACATAACCACTGACACATAACCATGCATGTTACACTTATATGTTATATGAGTAAAATATCTTCAAAAGTGGCAGATGTATACCTTTATCGTTTTGAATGATATTACGGCCAGTTGATTCTGTTTGAAGAACTTGTTGGATATGTTTTTGTTGCTTATGATCATTGTGGTCGTCAGTATGGGTTGTGTCATAGTTGTGATTATCTTGATCGGACGCTTTTAAGTCATCAGTAGCCATGTATTTGTATTGTTGATGGTCAATATTTTCATCTCCACCTTCGTCTTCGGAATCTGACATAAAGGTTTCATGCATCAATTCTGGTGATACTACTTTGTATTTCTCTTCAAGTACGCCAGTTGTAGTATTTGATACAGATTTTTCTGTTACAACTTTTAGAGTTTCAACGGCAGTAATATATCCCAAATTATCAGCAATACTTAGTGCAGTTTGGCCGTTCTAAATAAAAAAGATTTAAAAGAAAATAAAAACAGTATGATTATTATCACCTTTTCTTCTAAATGAAAACAATTTTTATTGTTACCGGATAATTATGTATTTCTAGGTGCAGAAATTGTAATGTTTTGCAATATCACAAATTATACACAAAAATTAGTAATAACGTTGGCACAAAAATAGCAAAAAATGTAAGTGAAAAAAAAACAACAACACTAAAACGTGCTGCACTATACTTTCGATTTGAACTCACTTGAGTATTTTGTTTGGAAAATACGAATGAACGTTGAATTATTTTTTTAATTTGAGATCTCGATCCCTGGTGCAATTTTTATTTTCACTAACTTAAATAAGTTTTTCCAGAAATATAATTGTATTTATATATACATATGTATAGGTAGCCACAGAAATTAATAGCATGTGTTTATTCATATACCTATAATATGTATGCTTTTGTACACCGTAGGCAAACTTAGAACTATTCGGACAAAGATCTCTATCTCTAATACAAGTCTCATGCTAACTAATTTACTTAAGTTTTTTCAGAAATACTTATAATTAATTGTATTTATATATGTACATGTGTGTATGTGTCTTGATACATGTACTAGTGCAATATTAAATAATATTTCTTAGTTTGTAGATTATGTAGACATGTATGGCAATTTAATTATACATAGTAACATATATGTACATATATGTATGTATATAAATACGAACGAATAAATTAAAATGCTAAAATTAGAACATTAGTATTTGTGTGGAAATAATCTCTAAATACATGATAGTAATAACAATATCAAATACCTTATATTTAAGTAATACGGTATTGATGAAAACTATTTTTGTCTTTGCGAAGATTAGAAAACATAAAGTAGCCAGATATATTTAAGCGCTTTTATTATTTCGAATATTACAAGATTGTTCACTTAAGGGTTGTTTTTAAAACCATTTTTTATGAAGATCTTGCTTGGTTTTAAGTATTAAAAACAACCTTTAAATGAAAAATCTTATAATATGCAAAATAATAATTATAGCTGATGGATCTAATTCATTTTCCCGATCTGTCTGTGTGTATAAATTTACATATCTTGAGGTTACATTGATCGACTTGGTAAAATTAGAGTTAATCCATGATCTTGGTATTAAATATAAAGTGTTTATTTTGTAATTCCGATGTTTGGGTCGATTCAAATTGTTAATGCAAGATGTCTGGGATTAAAAATTTAAAAGTTTTAGGAAAAGGCCTTTTGGTATTTTCAAATGATTTAATAGGAACGGTTGGGTAATCTCAATTTCCAAATTTGGTTGAGATTAGTTAAGTAGTTAACATCCATTGATACCCACCTCCTATAAAGCTCTCCTGCCATCCTGATCGTGAAATTCACCGTTTGTTGCTCATTTATTTAGTAATTTACAGCACTTTTAGCAATTTTCAATATCAATTATTATATAGGGATTATCGGATTTTACCCATTTTCACAGTATTTACGTTACAATTTTTTTTCACTAAGGTTGAGTTAGCCTCGACGGTTTGGAAGTTATATAAATTACATGCCCTTTGCCAAATAACATGTGTACCAAATTTTATTAAGACTTTTTTTTTCAAAATTATTTTATTTATTGGATCTGCTTTTTCTTAAAGCCTAACAATAAATTATAAAATCTTGATTCTATTTAAAATTTAGACAAGCTCAAACAAGTAATTAAGCTGTTTTGGTGATACGTCGCTCTTTAATAAGTCATGTTTGATCGCAGGAATGTACCAAAGCATTAGCCAAAGGGTTTGGACGATCTCGGAGTTTAGATATGTATTTAATTCTGCTGTCTTCTTTCTTCTTCTTTCTTTACCATATTCATACCAAGGTCTTTATGAATATTTTCGCTACAAATGTACCATTGTGTTCTAAGCATTTTTGATTGAAACCTTTGTAATATATATATGTTATTTTACTAGCAATGTGTTTTCTCCACGTGAGCCCTTTATATAGGTGAATACCAAGATATGTTACTTCGTTCGCTTGGGGTACTAAAATATTGTTGAATTTCAGTGCCGGTCACATCTTTGGTCTTAGCGAAAATGTGATATGCTTACACTTCTGTTCATTCTTGATGCTATTAGGTGGCATTTGTTACGGCTCACTATAGCTGTGTCGTCCGCAAAAGTCAGATATGAAATCTCCCACTTTTACCACAAATTTTCTATTTTTTAAATAAGACTCCAGTGTTTTATACAATTCTAAAGGTAGAATTTTTTTAATCTTGTATAAAAGATCTTCGTGCCACACCTTATCAAACGCCTGAGCTACATCTAGAAATATTGCTAAATAGTACCCCCTGTGCTAAAATCCTTTCCTTATCTCGTTCGTAACCTAATTGATACATTGGTATTGTATTATTTTCATAGGGGAAAACAGACATCTTTGATAGTAATACTTTTTCAAATACTTTTGAAGAAGTTTTACTTTGGTAGAAGATATATTGGTCTGTATGAAGACGGCTGTGATAAGTTTTTCCCAGGTTTATTTATCAAGATAATCTGCGACTTTTTCCATGAAATTGGATAGTATCCGAACCTAAGAATTTCACTGAAAAGTAAAGAGAACACCTCTACAGCAATAATTGGTAACTCAATTAGCATTTTTGGGGAAATATTACATGTCCCGGCGACTTTTTTGGATTAAGTTCTTTTATGATAACAATAACGCCAAATTTTGGAAAAGACCCGTGCAAGGAGAGTCGACACACACCACTTCTTCGTCGATGTCACAGCTGCTTTCGACAGCATGAAAAGGAGCTGATTATGCCGCGATGTCTGAGTTTAGTATCCCCGCAAAACTAATACGGCTGTGTAAACTGACGTTGAGCAACACCAAAAGCTCCGTCAGAATCGGGAAGGACCTCTCCGAGCCGTTCGATAACAAACGAGGTTTCAAACAAGGCAACTTCCTGTCGTGCGACTTCTTTAATCTGCTGCGGAAGAAAATAATTCGAGCTGCAGAACTTAATCGAGCAGATACAATCTTTTATAGAGTGTTCAGCTGCTGGCGTATGCCGATGATATTGATGTCATCTAGACTAGACAAGTAAAGCAAATGGGTCTGGCAGTGAACGAGGGCAAGACGAAATATCTCCTGTCATTAAAAAAAAAAAAAAAACAGTCGTCGCAATCGCGACTTGGCTTTCATGTCACTGTTGACAGTGATAACTTTGAAGTCGTAGATAATTTCGTCTATATTGTAACTAGTATAAACACCACCAACAATGTCAGCTTGGAAATCCAACGCAGAATAACTCTTGCGAATAGGTACCACTTCGGACTGAGTAGGCAATTGAGAAGTAACAAAAAACAAACTCTATAAATTCCATATATCATATCCAATTGGCGCCACGAAGCGAAAAGAAGAAATAACTGGCGAGCTATTGTTAACTCGGCTATAAACGCTTTTGCAGTGTCTACGCCAATAAAGAAGAAGAAAGGGTAGCAAACTGTCAAATACTCAGTGTTACCTTATCGATATCGTTTGTATATGAACTAAAAGAAATAAAGAAATATGAACACGAATCAAAAACCTGGCTAATTAGAATATGAAATTATTAAAATTTAATAAAACAAAAGTGTTTTATCCATTTCAGACCTTCAATACACAATTGTGCGGGTAAGACTAAAAATATGTAAAAAAAAATTCCCTTTAATACGTATTAAGACCCGAAAGCAATGATTGTGCTATTTATTTCTAACGGTGTTTTTCAACAGTTGCTTTGATTTTTTGTATATTTTTGTCACAATTTGCAAAGTTTTGAAGTGTTCAGCCGTGTTGTCAAGAATGGAAAAAGGTAAATTGAAATAAATTTTGTGCAGTGTTTTAGTTTCGTGATGTTTTGCAAACATGTGTATTGAGAAATATTAAATAAACTATATATTGTCTTATTGTGAAAAAATTATAATTAAATTAAGTGTTTTGAATTAGTTTAAAAAAGGACCACACAATTGTGCGCTTCAGGCTTTGACCTCGCATTTTCATTTACCCGCACAATTGTGTCATTCCAGGTCATTTCAATTTGAGTCTTGATGAGGACGTGCTTCAAGTTCTCTAAATATTGGAAAATTCCGATGCTGACTTTAGTTCTGATGACTCAAATGATTATGCGCTCTGGGAACCACCAAATAGGCAAATGGGCGGTTCATCCGAGTCGGATTGTAATGAAACTTCTTCGGAAGATGAAATTTTACTTCCAGCTAATCAAGACCCAACTGTAAGTCATGTAAATACAAGCGTATATGCTCGGGATAAAGTCTGGAAGAGCGTCGATTTTGTTGACTCGACGCCCCCGCAACAAACAAGTCATCAAGGGAATATTTTAGTTGGTACACCCGTGGAGTATTTTCAGAAATATTCTCCTGAAGATCATTTTCAAAACGTCGCGTTTTTCACGAATAAGTATCACTTATCTCAGCCTCAATGCTACTGATGCCGATATTAAAAATCTTTATGGATTCCATATCATAATGGGTTGCCTAGCTTATCCCAGAGTCCCGATGTATTGGTCGGAAGGCTTCGGATTAGCACGAATAAAAAACGCGATGACCAGAGACAAATTTCTTACATTAAGGAACAGCCTTCATTTTGTTGATACTCTACAGCCTCCGACAAACAAACTGTTTAAGATTCAGCCGGTTATAGACTGCGTTAGATCTCGATGCCAAGCACTAGCAACAGAAATTACGGAATACCCGACTGATGAGCAAATGATCCCATTTACAGGAAGGGCGTCCATTCGGCAATACGTTAAAAATAAATCGAGACCTGTAGGTCTTAAGAACCTTGTTGTTGCGACTTCCAGCGGGCTCGTCGTCGATTTCGAAATATTCCAAGGAGCAGGAACTTTTTCTTACACTGGCTTGGGAGTTGGAGCGTTTATTGTCATCAGATTGACAAAACATTTGCCGAAAGGGAGTTTTCTCTATTTTGATCGCTACTTTACCATGATTCTTCTTTTAG